ACCATATAAAAAGATTTTCAATAAATTGTGTAACTATACCGGAATCAATTTCCTAATTTGGACGGTCCTACCTCTAATACGTACGTACGTACGTAATTTTAGGGTATTGATTGATTATTGGGTTTCTTTTTATACATATTATTTAGAATTATATTATACCGTACGTCAAATTCGTGCTGACTTTAAATTGACATATGTCATTTTAAAATTTATACCGATTGGAATCTCTAAATGTGTTGTACATGCGTATCAAGGTCTACTGTATTAAAAATGTACCATATTTTTATTAATGTCATTATAGTTACTCATTTTGCTATAGCGTAATTATTACAAAAAAAATTGATTCATCGTGCATTGATTCGTGATTTCTGATTATCTAATCTGCATAACTTGAAATTTACTATTGAAACGAAACCATTCGAAAAAGTTGATCTTATCAAAATTTTATTTGAAGTCGAAACTAAGGCCGCAGACATTAGAATATCAAATAACATATAGCATTGACATAGAAATGACGTATGAAAGTCGCTACCCAAATTTTATATGACGTGAGGTGATATGAAAGGTAGTTACCTTTGACCTCCTAAATGTTCGCGTATACAGTCGAATCCATTTGGTAGACGCTGAATAGAACTGTCAATTTTTACGTCCCTATCTCTATCTATCTCTATGCAATAAATCTTCACACGGATATTCAATGAATATAATACCCATCATAAGATCTACTAACCATTCCATTTATAGATATGATGCAGAATGTTTATTCAACTCCTATCACTAAATCGTATCCGAGAACATCATCACGCCACTATCTTTGCCAATGCCTATTATTCCGACTTTTATATTACAGGCTAACTATTTTAAGTATAACACTTAAAAAAAAAATCATTGACTAAATCTTATACGCATTTATTAAATCTTATACGCATTGAATCTTATATGCATGGTTTTTATGTAATGTATGTACAAATACAAATGAACTTCTCCTATTTCTTTTAAAAACCAAATTCCAAATTTGTATTAGTGTTAGATCAATATAATCTAATTAACCGGTGAGTCATTCTTGATCATCAGAGATAAATTTATTTAGTGAAAAGAAACATGCAAATTATAAACTCACGATGTAAATAAGATCGATGTAGTGATAAGCAACAAGATTATATCCTCTGACGGATTAATGATATAACCATGCATGCAAGAGAGTAAATAAATAAAAGGTTTGATCTGCCTGTGTAAGACTGTTTATTAATGTAAACCGATACTTAATTTCATCGTGTAGCTTTGTAGAAGTGTGTTCGTGTATCAAGGAGAAGACCAACGTGAAGAAGTTTTTAAAGTGTATTTTTTCCAAAAAAAATGACTCGAAAAAGAAAAAATCAAGAACTACCCGGTTAGTTTTTATTATACAAAAAAATTTTGAAATAAGATCAATAATTAATGATACTTTTTTTTTTTTTTTCAACTTTACTGAACAATTTGAATTGGTGAGTTTTTCACTAAGCATAAATTTGTCTAGCGTACGTCTAATCATAAGTTACGCTGTTTGCGAGGATGATCCGGCAGACTGGGTGATGGTGTCGGGGACGACCAAATGTAAGGTTAGATGTTGTAATGATGATACTTTTATACTTACTCTTCTTTTTTTTTTTTTTTTTAGTTATCTTTAGAAGACAAAAATCAAGTTTATCTTTTAGCGATAAAAATTTATTAGAAAATTTTGACATAGATATCATCGACATCAAGAAAAACCGAATAATCGGAAAATGCGGTTCGCTTACTTTTTTTCTTAAAGCCCTCTATAATGAACCATGGATTCTGCTTTATCCAAAACAAGTAAAGGAATTTATGAAAGAAATAAACGAAGCACCCAAAGGGTTAATCGGATATTTGGTATCAAATAGCCTGGTTTCTAAAGAATGCATCGAAAAATCAGAAATATATCCTAAAATTTGGTTATCATGAAAATAATATCATTGAATTAATTAAAGATATGGCAAGCCTTCTAAATAATGATTCATTGATCAACAAATTAGATAATTATATCACCTCCTTAGAGAAGACAATAGACTTGGCACATCAAATTATAGAAAATCAAAACCAAATTATCAATATATACGAAAATTAATTAATTTTCAATTTTCAATTTTCAATTTTCAATTTTCAATTTTTAATTTTCAATTTTCAATTTTTAATTTTTAATTTTTAATTTTCAATTTTCGATTTAATAAATTTGTGATCTTTTAATAAAATTATAATTCATCTACATTACCAAATCTTAACGTTAATTGAAATAATACAAATGTAAAAACTGCGACTACTACGAATGAATCCAATTCTTTCTAAATAATTTAACTTATGTAGCATTTGGTTAAGGATATCACGGTACTGGCAAGCTTAGTGACTTTTATTGTCGGGGTTAAAGCGTAATTATTAGAGGGTTAAAGAACGTAAATTAATTGTTACGAGGTAATCTTAATAATAGTAAGGTTTGCTATGAAAATAAATGCTATTATTTTTATAAGGTATAGAGTGCACGTAAGCTTATTAAAGGGTTTTTTCTTTATTCAATTTTCTAAAAATTCTTATTTATTAGCAGTCTACTAAAATTTTTAGTAATTAAGATAGGGATGGATCAGTCCGGTCCAGTCCGTCCGGTCCATTAATGTTTTATGGTCCAAAAGCAGTCCGACCTCTAACTATTCTATTGGCTAGCGGAGAAAATTAAATTAAATAAGTCGGTAATTGAAATAAGGATTGTATAAAATATTTTTAATTAGCTATTAATGAAGACCGGTACGAATTGATCTCAGGACCGGGAACCGGTTAAAAAGATTGGTCCTTATTCGGCCTTTCCAGGACTAATCCATCCCTATTTGTAGAATAAATATTTTAGTTAAATATAATACAGTCAACGTCCAAAGCATTTTTTGACATGTCCAACGTCCAAACATCAAGGTCCAAAACTTATCTAAACTTGGATAATTAAAAAATCTATTTTTTTTGAAAAAAAAAATTAGGGATAGAAACGGCTTATAATAAGCCAGCTTAATCACAGCTTTTAAGCTGAGCTGAGCCAAGCTAATAAAGCCAGCTCAAGCTGATCTTATTTTTAACTAAATATATTTATTTATTTTTTTTTTTAAATGTTAAGGTGACCACTCACAGGTTTGGCATGGTTTATTGAACTTTTGGGTCAATACTAGCACAGTCACATGGACCGCACCTGTCTTGTTATATTAATGAGAATACATTCTAGCCATACTTACACCTTTTGGGTGCCTAATTTAAGTAGTTTATCTATTACTAGATTCTACACTAGATGCCATATCTGCAACCCACTATTACTTGAGTTACCCAATTAAACTCTCTGATTAACTTTCACACCATTGGATATTTTGCCTAAAGAGGAACCTGCCACTGAGGCCTGCTAAGTCTTTAAAGCAGGCATACTCTTCCATATAGAGGGTCCTTTGACCTTGTGGTAAACCTACTATAGCAGTCTATATTTCACACATGTATTATCTAGGTTTCGGTAACTTACACCTAGGCCAAGGCCAAGTACTTGCAAGTCGAAGCCATTACTATTACCTACTCTGTGTTCTTGCAAAGTTCACTCAAACCTTAGTATATACTTAACAATCCATATTTTTAGTTTCCCAAACTAAGCTCTACTTTCAGTTTCCCAAACTTCCAATTCAAATAGCCTGAAAGGACTGTAACCTGCCTCTGGTCCTCATGATTGGGTCTTTTTCTTCTAGTTACTCATCTAGTGGCCTGGTTGGTAGAGTGCTTTGCCAAACACTTCGGTCCTGTCTGGGTTCCCTTTTCCTACTATCTGGTTTCCTCTTTTCAGATTATTAGGTAATACTGCTAAAGATCTGTGTTACCTCTCTGTTCGAGTCTTGCCAAGCAGGCTTTTATATCCTGATTCGCTAGATTTACCTAGTAGCTTCACTGTTATACAATTTATATGTTATACTATATTTCCACTATCTTCTAGTATAATAGTACTGGTGCAATCCTGTTACAAGTACTAACCCAAATAGGATACAGTCTTCTAAATGCATTTTCATAAATTCAAATTTTGTCATCAGTAGATTCGAACTCTTGTCTTGCTGCTTGAGGATGCAACAACTTACCAACTATACTAAATTGCCACATCTTCACTAAATATATTTATATTACTTGTATTATTATAATAGTTTATAAGAATTTTTTACAATAAATTACTATAGAAATTATATTTATTTTAATACAAAACTAATATAACTATCACAGGTCAAATACCAAAATATCAGACAAAATATCGGCTATCCGATATTCCTATATATAATAATGATATTTTATCAAAATATCTATAAGGGATATCCTAGATACTTCTGATAGGTGACTAGCTTGAGTATCTATAGGCAAAGAAGACTATAAAGAAAGAGACCAGAGACATAAGTTTATAGCAAAACTAGTAGAAATTACAGAAGGTCTGTCAGAAACATTACTCATTAGACATCTGAAAGATAGAAAAACAAAAGCAGTATATATCCCTAAAAAAAAAAGTGGACTAATGAAACAAGTTGCAAAAGTAACCTTTGCTACTGAATCAGAAATGAAAGAAGCACAGAAGAAATCAGTAAGATAT